TTCAACAAACACATGTACTATAGATTTTTACGTACGAGAGTGATGAAGAGAGTTCACCAGATGGGAGATTTATGTTTCATATAGAAACTAGAATCAGGAATGTGTTACAGAGCTTTTTCTTTCGAATTTCAAAGCTGCACAGACTATGATGTAACGATACAACTTCGACAATGTCGCAAAGTATCTTCTGGTCGTCTCACCTGTAGGAAAGTTGGCAAGACGGGATTATAATTTATCGATTATTTTACCATCTATCTTTTACCTCTGTTATTGATGCTACTTGCAGAAGAATGAAACAAAGTGAGAAACAGTAGATTTTAAAAGAGTATAGAACCCAAGATTTTTAGAAGCTCTGAAGTGGTTTAAAGTGTTCACAAAATATCATCAAACTTTGCAGGGCTTCAAAAGTTGGCAAACTCGTAAAAGTTAAATGAAGCTACTCTGACATCTTTATCGTTAGTTTCTATAGGTGGATAACTACGGTGAATTATCATTTAAATCAATTCAGCTTAACATTTCTCTTGTTCAAATTAGTATCACCAATGTCCTAACCACATGCAAAATACGATGCAAAGTCAGTAGTTCTAATTGTGGAGGAAAAAAATTGAATTAGTAGTAATTGATTCGTAAGTCATTTCTATTTTTAATCTTGTGGAGCTGATCATTATTGTTCTGAATGGAGGGAACATTAATACAGCGACATAAATATTAGATCATTTTAGTGAGTAGTCTCTGTTTCACATGAACCATAGCAGCACGAGTAGCATCAAACTTTATTCAATCCTTCAACTGTTCCGAATCATGTTGTTGAGTGTTTTTTACTTCTAATGCTTGCATTGACGTATTCAATGTTATATGTTTCAGAATAGAACTTGAATTTAGAAACAGAGCTCTTTTTATAAAGTGATTGAAAAAATAAGTCATGTGGTCCGTCTTATGCTAGTGCATGTATTAGTACTATTGCGAGTGTAGATGAAGAGCACCTTTTCTATACTCTTGTCCACAAAACCTTATTCTAGTCTCAAAAACATTACTTTTAATGTGTAGAGAGAGCATTCGAAGAAAAAAAATACCCTTAACGACATAATTTGAAACAGTTGGAGGATTCAATAAAGCTCGACGCTGCTCGTGTTGCAATGACTTATGCGACAGATAGATTGCTCGCTATATGGTCAAATACTTAGGTCGATCCGTTAATGTTAACTCTATTCAGAACAATAATGATCAGTTCCACATTATGATTATTAGCAGCGATTAATGAATCAATTGCCACAATTACTACTAATTCATGTTTTTTTTAAGATATAACTAGGAGCAATGGCCGTGACTGGTGATGTTTTATCACGAGGAAATCATTTTATTCGATGTATTTTGAGATACATTGCTTCATTCCACTTTTTGTTTAACCCTTGAGAATGCCAATAAGGAAGTAAATAATATATTCTTATCTTGTGAGAAAACTTGTCTGAATTTAGTATTGCTCGCGCTAATTTATTGTGATGGAAGAAAAATATCATTTGATCTTTATAATTCAAGGAAAACTTAAAGCCCCTGAAAAAATCTTCGAGGAAGAAGCCAGACAACTAGGCAATACAAAGACTAGAAATTCCAAACTCGAGAATTCCGAGTGTTCGCGCAAAGTTCAAGCAATCCAATACGTGTAAAGTCTGTTTTGTTTCCCTTCCGATTGCAGTGCATTGAAAATTCCATTAAAGCTCACAATGTCACGAAGGACAAGAAAAAGACTGCATTCAAACAGTAAATCTCCAAATTATCTCGTAATCGTTTCGTGTATGATAATTTAAGAAAGGCTATTCATCAAAGCTATGATCTGGTTTAACACCTTCTTTCGGGCTTTGATGTTTAGTTTTCCGAGAAGAAAATGAGAGGATCTGCGATAACACTAAGTGGATCATTTGTGCAAGTCCGACTTGAGAAAACTCCGTGTTGTTTCATATGACGAAAGCCATTACAATTTATTGGATCAAAAGTCAAACTAATACGTAAACTCTTATGTTGCTTTTTTTATTGAAATCAGACAAATATAGCAGATCGTAGGACATAATTTATGACTTTTCTTCTTTGTCAGTTAGCGAAAAATCTTAACTTCAGCTCATAAGAGTCTCGAAGAGACCTTCTCTCTCACTCTGAAATTCTTTTCTCTGGTGTCGAAATTGATGTCAAAAACAATATAGTCATATAAAGAAAGCCTCTTATTTTATGTAAGAAAGCACAATTGCGTTGCTATCTAATCGACTCAGACATATTCTGCCATCAGATTACTAAATGAATAAACAGTTACAGATGAGATGCTGTAGATTCACTAGATACGGTGTACCTCTTCTATTACTTATTGATTTGTCTGCTGTCTCGTTGCTCTTAGTTATACTGCCTGATGCATTTTGAGAGAAAAATATGAAACTAACCAGCTCTATTTTAAAAATAGACTTAATGCTCATCTCATTACTAAATGTCTAGAACTTTCAAGATAAACAATATTTTGCCCCAATAGTTTTGTACAGCTTTTTAAACTGTATGATAGAGCAATGAAGCTCTGGCTCTGACTCCTATGAGACATTTAGAGCTATAATTAAGATCCTTGAGATCCAATATGAATTTCGGGAGCGCAAATTATTATTATAAATGCTCCGTCAACTCCATGGAAATTCCGGTGATCCCGAAAATCAGAAATTCGCCGTTTTCCTCTTGAAAAGAACCAAATCAGAGATATACTGTGGTTTTCTTTTGATGATATCTCGAAAGTGTAAGAAGCTGATACGAATAAAATACAAGTTGGAACTGAATGTTCAACGACCTCGTCATAAATCTATCTGATATAAATACAGAAGTACACAAGATATACGAAAATGTCTTTAATTGAACATCATCACAAGCGTTCAAATCACATACTCATTTTTCTATCATTCACAATCTGCATTGTCCATCGCTCGGTGGATGTGGTTGTGAATGTTCATATTGCCCATGCATTAGCATATTCGTTTCTCCAAAAATACTTGCTTCATTTTATCGAATTTCGATTTCCAGTTACGACTGTTGAGGAATTGAGCGTAAAATTGTATTAATAAAAAGTCGAAAGAAAGTAGCAGTCAAACGTTCATGAATATATAATATATTGAAATAGAGGGATATGGGTGAGACTAACAATATAAACGTGACCCCACTCTCATTATTACTGAAATGATTATTGATTTATATTATAAGCCTTTGAAACATGTGTAAAATGAAAAGAATCTTCTTTATATGCTAATTTTAAACTTCTCACAACTTCTTCGATTTATGAGAAATAATATTCCACTTTTCTTTGATTGCATTCAAGATTTGCTGAATTTTAATGTTTGCGACAACATCAACGAGAATAGTCTTGTACTACCTAAGTGAAAATTGAAGGGAAAATTCTGGTTTAAAACACCTTATATTTCTAACTGAAAAATTCTTGTAAGTATTGGATTTAGACAGAAGAATATTCGTAGATGATCTGCTTCTATTGTCGTCATACTGTGTTCATATGTAGCTAATTACAGGGGTAGCATAATGCCCAGAAGATTCCAACTCTTTTCCATATATATTCGAGATAACGACTTTTTACTAAATTCCTTCTGGACGATTGGCTTGTGAAGAACACATATTTTTCAGTTTCGACCTCCAGCTTTGTATAAATGAAGGCCTCACTCCCACTATCTCATGTATAAAATTTCATCTGTTTTGAATATTACAGCGTCAACAAATGAATGTCTCAAAATATTTGTGTTTTACACAAAACGTAAATATTTTATGAAATTCATATGTTGATAAATCTGATATTCAAAACAGGTTAAATTTAATATGTGAGATAGTCTAAGTGAGACCTTCATGTATACGAAGGTGCAGGTTGATATTTAAAAATATGTTTCTTTTTCAAAGCTCTTCGTCCAGAAGGAGTTCAGTAAAAAGCTGTTATTTCAAATAAATATGAAAAAGAGTCGAAATCTTCTAGGCATTATGCTATTCTCGTAACTCTCTACAGATAGGTATAATATGACAACAATAGGATTGGATCCCTCAGAAATGTTATTTCGTAAGCATTACATGATTCGTTTACGACTTACTTTCTATAGAGGACCATTAATTCTTAACCATTGGACATTAGATGTTAACTTTAAAGACAATTAATTGGGTGAAAATACTTCACTTTAGTGTTATAGTTTTTTTGACCAGTAAATTTTGTTCTCAACACTTTCAGTGCAAACTAGTCTAAACTGGCGGTTCTGAAGAAATGTTCGCGAACTTTGATGAATGATAAAAAAAAAAGAAATTAACTTACACTTGCTTGTACAGCATGTGTTGGATATTCGAACTTACCAGACAAAAGCATTCTAATGTTACTATCGAATCATATTTAGTCAATTAATCGATTTCAATTCGATTACGGGCCTAATCTCTACTTGCTAACTACTAAGAAACTATTGAAACCAAATATGTTCTCCACACTATGACCTATTCTAGTGCCTTTCCAATGTATACATTGTAAATCGTCACATGTATCATTTTCAGGAAACCTACAAGCTCAGTAATCTATCGCTTGTTCGATGTAAACACAAATTCTCAATTTTTTAAGCCGGAATAAGAGGCAGCAGAAAAATCTTGACAATGCGTGAACTTATCAAAGTAACCTATGATTCTACATGTCGTGTGAGAGATTATGTCAACTCCAGCGAAGCTATTCTGTAACCTTCTTACTAATAAATCCAGTATGAAAACTCAATAATAACCACAGCAGTTTCGGTTGTAGTAAAAAGACACTGATTCTAATAGAAAATGACAGTTACTGGAAAATATCAAGCTCCTACTTAAAAGTTACATAATCGAAAATTTACAATTTGAGAAAATACCACATAATTACTTAGGGTATACCAAAAGTTCTGATCACAGTTTTTAAAATTTAATAAAGCAATAAATATTGAATATTTTACTAAGGCAATATATAGTATAACGTCTCGTCTTTAATAATATATANGAAAACCAATTTTTTTTAGAGTGTAAAGATGGTTCACTCTGTCAAAAGCTTTTTCTTGATCCCACATAGTAATTCCTAAAGGTATACGGTTTCTTGCATGATCCTCTATGATTGTACGTATTAAATGTATATTATCATGTATGGTTCTTCCGGGAATACCTGATGTTTGATTGTAATGTATGATTTTGTTCATAACCTTCTTTAGTCTTGTACTTAAAACTTTGGTTATGATTTTATAGTCAATATTCATAAGTGAGAGAGGTCGAAAATTTTTCAGCGTTCCATTAAATTCACCTTCTTTCTTTAATAGTGTAAGAAGACCATTAAGAAATCCATCGTGAAAATGACCTTTGTCTCTAGCTGTATTTACCATCTTAATAAAATGATCTCCTACTATTGGGAAAATAAATCTCCATAGTTCAATCGTTAAACCATCATCACCTGGAACTCGACCTAATTGCATAGCTTTAAGGGCTGCGTTACATTCATCAGTTGTTATATCACGGTCAAGTAAGTCGATATCATTTTGATCGAGTGTTGTTATATCTCTGAATAACTCACTCCAATAAGATGTATCGATTGGTTTAACGTTATATAAATCTTGATAGAAATTACAACATATTTCCATCATTTCGTTATCTGTTTCAACGCGACCATTAGATGGGTAAATGAGATAAGCAATTCTAGATTGGTTTGCTTTACCATGTGCTAATCTCACTTTAGCTAAATTACTAAGACATTTAACATCACGATCATCTTGACTTGGAATACTATTAACGAATTTTTCTGTTAATGCATCGTGAAGTTTTTGTTTAATAATCTCTAATTGTACTAAGTCATCATCGGATGGATTAATTGCTCTAAAACGATATTCTTTAGATAATCCATCTAATTCACGTCGTGTTTCTCGATTAAGTTCTTTTTCTTCTTGTTGTATTTTCATTATTAGGCTTGTCTTAAAATCATTCCACCATTCAGTTGTATTGAGATCAGCTGTGTTGATAATGATGTTCCATACTCGATAGAATTTTTCTAAAAAGGATTTTCTTTTAATTACATTAGGATTACATATCCATCTACGATGCATATTTTTATCGGTGAATGATGGTATTTTAATAGATAAAATTAATGCGTCATGATCCGATAAGCCCACTGGAACATAACCAATATCATGTGTATTTTTGTATATAATATCAGAACCAAATACCAGATCTATACGACTATGAAAATTGCCTGCACTTGCATGATATGAATAAACAATTTTCCTAGGATGTTTTCGTCTAAATATTTCAGTTAACAATAGTGGATTGATCACTTCCTTAAGTAATATTCGATAAGATAGATTATCTGTCTGTGCACCTAATTTTTTCCTATCTTGTTGATTGTTCGGAGTACAATTAAAGTCCCCTCCGATAATAATCCATTTGGTAGAAGGAATATATAATAATAATTCCTTAAAAAAGGAACATCGTTCTGTTATTTGAGCAGGAGCATAAACATTGACTAAAACTATTGGAACATGATTACATTCAATTTTAATATAAACAATTCTGCCATCAGTATCTGATCCATAATCAATCATATTAAATTTTTTCTTAATCATTATTAAGACACCACCAGCAGCCCATGTACCCAATGCCGCCCTAATATTATAATCAATGAAAGAATTTTTAAAATTTTCAAGATGGGAAAATTTTGTCATATGTGTTTCTTGAAGCATAACTATATCATGTGGATTTTGATTTAACCATATTTTAAGCAGTTGTTGTTTTTTGCATGTTGTTATTCCCCTAACGTTATAAGATATAATTCTGAGCATAGTTTGATCAATAAGATGGAATTATACTTGAAATAACTTCTTTGATTTTTTAAATTTTTTTTTAATATATATATATATATTATTTTTTTTTTTTTTTTTTATAATCTATTCTATTTTTTTGTTTAATTATCAACCACTTCATCACCTTCAGTTTCACCTGAAGTTGAGGTTGACGAATTACATATATGTGTTTTCTTACGATCCATATCAGCATCCGAGTCGATGCTTCGATCAGCATTGGTACGTTTAAGTTCATTTTCTGCATTTTTAAAAGCATCAATTAATACTTGGTGTTGGACAACAGAAACATCGGAGATATGTTTCTCGTTTCCACCTGACACCGATGGAAAAGAGTTTACATCAACCCCTTGGTAGAGTTCGTTTAGTGCTACACCTTGCATAAGTACCGGTGCAATCACATCACGTTCTTCATCACCTGCCATTAAATGTGGACTTTCAAGAAGTAATTCTTCTCGAGTTACCACAGGAAAGGCTGAATCAATATCACTGGATCCCGTTGTATTAACTGTTGGAGTGTTCTGATTCATATCACCACTTTCGTTTGTCAGCCCATTACCATCTTTATTCTTCACCTTGTTTAAAAGGATTGTGTGTCGTGGACAATCCTTTTTTTTGTGTCCTTGTTGTTTGCACTTGCGGCAATACGGTAATCGTTTTGGCAATGCCAATGGTGAATTAATCATTGGAGAACCTGATGTTACCTCACGTGCAACATTAAGTTGATTAACTGGTGGTGCTGCATGACTTACGTCCACAGGTGTAGAAACAACTGCTGTAGCATAGGACCGTTTCTGCTGACAGTTTGGGTCATCATGGCCTATTTCGTAACACCTTTGGCACTTCAAGGCCGTACATTCAGCTTTGATATGCCCGGCTGACTTGCACCGGTAACATACCTTTTGACGACCTTCCAATTGTACCGAGACATTAAATCCACCAATTCGGAATGAGATTGGAACTTTATCCTCATCTTGGCGAGATGGAAACCGTATGCGAACACGACGTACGAAGGATTTGATTGCTTCGAAGGGACGCGGTAATCTTTCAGCTTCAACGTTTAAAACGATACCACCCCAACTGGACGCAATAGTTCGAATGTCTTCGTCAGGTACTGATGTAGGTAAATTTAATAGACGAACGATTTTAACATGTTTATAAGGTTCACTAATTAAAAAGGTTTGATCACCGACTTTCAATTCAGGAACCTTGAGAACATCTTCACGAGCAGTTTTTGTTTTAAAAATTATATACCATTCTGACAAATCACCGAGATTTCCTAAAGAATCAATATCCGTGATGGTAGTAATTTGTCCAAGAGCAGTTATAACCGCTGTCCTATCAATACGTTCACTTCCACGAATAAGCGTAAGTAACACGGCTTCACGTAATAGCTCGTGAACCGGCATGATATAATACTAAACTGCAATCAGACTAACTTCTAGGCGTATACAATACACACACACCGACGAATAGTTTGATTGAATAGAAGAACAACAACACACAACGATGATAAACGCACGTACAACGTGACGATAAACACGCTTCACAACGTTTCTTTTAATAATAATTTTTTTTTTTAAACTTTTTGAAGTGATGAATGTATGTGAGAAGATATCGATAGATTACAAGCACTAATCACCAGAAGAAGAGATCAGATTTGATCATTTACCTCTTGTTAAAGTTGTAATAAGCAATCTTTTCCGACGTTCTGTAGAGTATGACATCTCCTCTGTCTTTACACATTTCATAGTAAAAGGCGCCGTTCGCAAATGGCTTCTAACAATAAGATCTTCTGGCAACACCGAAAACCAAATGCTTAGAAATTATCTGATGTAGGGAAGAAATTGAAGTGCGTCATTAGTGAATGAAAACAAAATACAGAACGCAAAAAGCAATGTATAAAGACAGAGGAGATGTCGTGCTCTGCAGAACGACGAGATAAATTGCTTATTACAAGTTACCAAGAGGTAAATGATCTAGTCTGATCAAATACATGTTGCGATGACGAATATGGGCTAGTTTATGATACCATCGACTTGCCAGAGCAACATAGACTCTCAACTAAAATACACTGCAAAATATGGGTATAATGAAGTATTGAATTCACGAAATTAAGTACTAGTAGTTGCAAAAGTATATTGAGAAGTAAAATTTTCTAAATTTTTATAATATAAAATATAGGTATGAACAAAAATGTTAACACTGTTGATAATATTTTCTAAGAAAATGATAACGCATGTAAAAAAAAAAGAAATCTTTTTTAAGAATGAATTGATTAAATAAAAAAATATTAAATTTTTTATTGTATTTTTCATTAATTTTTGCAAAAAATAAACGAATTTGGATCAGACAATCATAATAATATCAAAAATTTATCTCAATATTTGAATAAGAATAAAAATTATTTTTTAAAAAAGATGTTCTATACATTCAAAGAATAGTTAAAGTTGAACCGAGAACTGTAGGCATGTTTGATACAGTTTGATATACTTTTATGTGTTGAAATAAATTTCAGAATTTTCGAATTTAAAAACCAAGATATGAAATTATTCATCATTATTTAGCGCATTTCATATATACTTCCTTTTAATTCAATCTAAATTAATACTCTTCCTTACTTTTGCTTTTTATCTTTTATATATTTAGTTTTAAAAATTTTCATTGCTAATTTCTATTATTTTTAACTTTTAAAAATCACAAGAGATAATATTAAAAATAATTTGATGAAAAATGAACATTACAAATAATAAAATAAAATCAAAGAATTGAATATATTTAAAAGAAATATATAGTTATGAATATGTGGCATTTCGACATACGAATTAGTCTTAGTTAGACGTTTTTGTAAATGTTTTCTTTTTTATTCTTTAATTCTATTACATTTTCTTTTTCTTAGATGTTAAATATATGATAGTGGGACGGCAATACTCGTAGAATAAATCGTTTTTTTTTCTTTTTTCTTCGTAAAGAGTAAAAAAGAAAACATGTAAAAAAAAAACGTCTGAAGAAGACAGTATTTATTTAAATTAAATTAAATAGAACATCCATCCTAATTACTCGTTATGAATACATATTTCTTTTCGTGTATAACATCTAAGGGTGAAAACATAATTTTCAATATTTTTTTTTATATAGTTCCAGTTATAAAGAAAAAAGTATTGATTTCAAATATTGTTCTGATACATATATTTATCAATCATAAAAAGACGAACAACATTTTAATCTCTGGTATCGATTGATGGTTTTGTGTACAAATCCGTAACTTAATAAATGAACAGTTTTATGAAACACTATTTTTTTCGTATTGAATTCGTAGACAAGTTTAACTAAATTATCGGCTAAAGAATAGGGCTTCTTGAGTATATGTATACAAATATGTAAGCTTTTTTCTTGTCGAATTTCTATTTGGGTTTCAAAAATACACTAAATATATTCTTACACAGAATGAAGATTATTACAAGTAATCAAACTATTTTGTGAAATAATTCCTATCCTTACAGAACTTTATTTCATCAGAATACAAATATATATATAATTTACTAAACTTAGTGTAGAAATTTATTTACAGATAAACACAAAAAATAAAAAATAAATAACAGATTATTATCAGTTATTGGCGTTTCAAAACATTTGACTACAAAGTGATTCAATATCAATTCATTCATAACGAAAGCTTCTTTCTACATTCCATGTGTTACGTCTTGATTGATTATCGATTCTGAATTCCTCTTTACGTTTAGCTATCAAAAGTTGCTCTGGCAAGTTCATGTTTCCATCAACTCGCACGTTTTCGTCATCGCAACATGTATTCGATGAGATTTGACCATTTACCTCTTGGTGAGTTGTAATAAGCAACTTTTCTCGGCATTCTGCAGAGCACGATATCTTCTCTGTCTTTACACATATCATATTAAAGAACAGAACACAAGAATAGAATGTGTAAAGACAAAGAAGATATCGAGCTCTACACACCGACAAGAAAAATTGCTTATTACAACTTTACCAAGAGGTAAATGATCAAATCTGATCAAATACATGTTGCGATGACGAAAACGTGCGAGTTGATGGAAACGTCGACTTGCCAGAGCACCATTTACCAAAACATAATAGAGTAAATGTATGTGCGAATCGCAAGTTACTTTATCCATGATGACTGTTTGAACGCTTTTGAATCAACGGACTGTTATTCGATACTATCTGATTGTTATACGAATTTTATAAAAGTACCGATAGAGTGAAATTGAAATATTGCGAAAGAGAATTTTTTGAATTGGTTTTGGGAAATAGAAGAGTTATATAGAAGTCGTAAGATATCGATTGATCTCTATAAAAGAGATAAAATTTCAGATTGGCTACAAAAATCAGTAGAATTATTTTTGTTTTTTTTAATGAGCACGAGTAATAGTTCAATTATGACATATTATAATATTCATAAGACAAACATTACAAGGAAAAATGTGCGGGATTGGGAAACGATAGATAATATGATCATATTCGTTAAAATGAGGAAAAAATATGAGAGGAAATATATGAAACATTTAGTAGCATATAATGTGTTAATGACAATGAAAAGTTTAACTGTTCTTCAGAATTTTTTGATATTTAACGAAGGTTCTTGAAATTATGTTCGTAAATTTATCTTTTAAGGAAACTATTGACGTTGTTTAATTTTTATTATGATAATTGTCTATTTTAGTTTTACATGAATTTATAGTATTTCGGTGGTAATACAAGTGTAATAAATATAAACAAAGTTGAAATAAATAAGATAAAGTATCCAGTGAGAAATAGCTATGGATCACTGATTGATTTCATACACTTTGATACAAATTTTTTAAAAAGTATATATTTTATAGCAAGAAAAACTAATAAAACAGGTCTAATAAATAAATATTAGTGATCTCGAACTTGGTTTTTTTTAAAAAGACAGTGGTCCACAGTAAGTAAGATCGATTCATTAGGTTTTTTCCGGGATAACT